CACTTCATATTTCCTCTGCGAGTTGTATTATTCATGGATAATAAACATATTATTATTATTATTATTTATTACTTTCTTCCTTTTGAATCATCTTGCCCTTGGTGGTGAAGATAAAAAATTGAAAAGTGAATTATTATCATTATTATTTATTTTCTTGTTCTCCGTTCTGAATGCAAGAAAACAGTAGTTTCCGTTGGTCAGAATCACCCTGAATTCAATAAAACATCGATTTGTACAATTGGATCTGATTTATTGGGGCAATATCTCATCAGAAAACATTCGTTAGATTAAGCTCGCCCCCGGGTCGGCTGTAACCGTGGTCGAAATTAATGACATTAAAGCAAAATCAGTTAGAGATCCCAAACGGAGTTCCGATCGAATGCCGCTTAATTCCTCCTTTCGAATTCCAACCACCACCAGAATGTAATAATTTCTCCAGGAAGTTAATCGAATTTATAATGAATCACTTAATTCGACAAGAATAGTCCGACTCGATTTCAAACTCCAAGACATTGTGGACTGAATTGAGTATTCAAACTCCGAACTCAGTCTAGTCTCTAAATTATAATTGCTTTGAGACGTTTTTTCGAAGACTGTAAAAGAATACTTTGGTATTCATGGCTGAAATCATATCAATGGACATCCAGGATAAAACTCTCACCACTGAAAATCAAAACTGCTTGATATATTCATTTGAAGTCATTAGCAATTTTCACAGTAATAATAATATTTTTAACAATTAAATTCCATGCCGAAAAAGCCCAAAAATTAACCTGGCATTTGGCAATGATATTTTTAATGATAGCACTATTCTACGTTGATTTGTGAAATTTCCTTTCGGAGATTTTAGCGTCGAAGATGAGCCCCGAAGTGATCGACCTACAGTAATTCTGGATGGAGATTTGAGCACCCTAGTGGAGATTAACCCATCAAAAATAGAAGAATTGGGCGCAGCGCCATTCAGTTCTTGATGATTTATAACGTATTGGAAAATTACGACCCACGATTTAACCCATCGACAGAAATTATCACGTTTCGAGTTCTGTTCTTGTTTGCTTTTGGGCAACCAGAACGATCCTGTTTTGCAGACGGTCAGGTCTAGGACAGTGGTTGGACACCGATGAGCCAACCAGGCACTTCCCAAAGGCAAAAACTCACCAAAAAAAGATCATAGTTACTGTGTGGTGGTCAGCTGCTGGTGTGATTGACTATAACATACCGTTCCACCCTTTCATCTTCCGAAAATTGAACGAATTGAGCATGGAAGGTCTGCCTCACCCACCATACTCCCCAGACCTGTCACCAACCGACTACCATCTTTTCAAGCACATGGATAACTTTCTCATTGGTAGAACTTTCGCCAATTAGGATCAGAATAAACGGCTCCCGTCGACTTCATCGAATCCCAAGTACACAATTTTCATGCTGACGGATTCAATCGACTTTTCTTACGATGATAAGTGAACTGGCAAATGGCGTCTATTTCGATTGAATTGAATAAGTATTTACTGAGATATTACAGTTTGGAGTAGACTTATGAAAATGGTCAGAACAATCTAATAAGTTTTGTCATCAACTACTGTTATATAAAAAACATTGTAGAATAGTTTAATATATCAGTAACTGATGAAGCTACCGAGTAGCGAAACGCGTTTCAAATAAAATTTTATGTGACAATTCTATACTTACTATCATTATTATTGAAAAATAATTGTAGAGAATATGAAACAAGAACTGGCAACATCTAAAAAATTGAGATGCTCGAGGGTTGAAACACGGTTGAAACAAGATATTTGTGTACATTCAAAATGGCATATTAAATTTTTAGGAGAAATATTTTTTTTGGGAAAAAAAGGTTTTGTAGAAGTAGAAAACCGAAACTTTTCTTTCGCATCCTCTCCTCTAAGTATTTTTCAAAAGATTAAAGGATGACACTCTAGAAAGGTGGATGAAATTGTGCAGAAATGAAATGAGATCGGCAGATTGATAGACAAAGTGATATGAATTCCTAAATTTCTCCTTTGTAGCTACATATTTATTATAAATTCCTTCTATAGAAGATGCAAAAATAAATTTTCCGTGCTTTACATTGAGCTTCGATTTTCGATATAAAATAATTTACATAAAACAGCTAATATATTGTAGTCAGAGTTCTCCGAACTTCATCCATTTTATCGATTCAAAACCTTCGTGGGTTCCCATTTGTTTTGAAATCGTGAAATATCAATATGAATTGTAATAAAAATCTAGTAAAGGACAAATTATAAAACGAAATCTTTATTATTTTTTTATATTTGAGAATCAGGCAACCGCTCACTAAATAATTTAATCTTGGGTTGAGTTGTCCCACAAGCATCATGCAGAGACGTATTCAAGCAATACAAAATATTAACTCTTGTGGCTCCTGTCACAATATTGACANTGCCAACCCGAATTTTGGAGATACTTATTATAATTATTATAAACTTATTTCTTCTAAAAAATATCTCTTTTCGGATTTTAAGGATGTAGCAGTTGTAAAACCCCATGAACTCGCTTTGTGGAGTTGTGCATATTCCTATAATATTTTTCTCTAAAAAAAGCCCTTTCGGCAAATTCCTCTCTACTCCTAACCACCTGTCACCCAACACTATGTTTACAAATATGGAATAAATAAACACAATGCGAAGCCTGGCTCTTGAGCAATATTATGGCGTTCCAGACTACAAAAAACTATCCTCAAAACAGAAGCCCTCCACAACAGCGTATCATCTCTCGAATCAAAGCGCACCTTCGTCACCGTCCCCGGAGGCGGGGGGCGGTGGTACATCACAATCTAGTCTAGACGAGGCTGGGGGCGCTGCACTCTCAACCAGTACCGGGACAAGGACGAAGGTCGTGGAACTGGGAAAGTGAAACCCGCGACGCATAAAAACCGCCTCCTCGTTCCCTGTCCGCCTGCCGCTCCCGAAACAGTCGACCGGCAGGGATGCAGCACCCTCCGAGAGGTGGATTTTTGGCGGCGGGAACGGAATGAGCGGATCAATAGCGCCAGACATGATATGAACATACGTAGGCACCCCTTTCGGAAGGGGGTGAGTTAATTGGGGTTGCTTGTGGTTCGTAGTGAAAGATGACAATCACTATATTAGTTTTATGAATATTCGTTGTGCACTGATGGAAAGAGAGTCTTCACGTCAACAGGATTATTTTTGAAGTTTCCACGCGAGGAATCAAAACTGCTCTAATAATAGGAACTCCAATGAAACGTACTAATATAGTTCATTGTGATTTCAACTATGATAGGTTTACATTATGATTCATAATGTCAGAGTACAGGATTCGGCTAGCTGCTTCGAATTATTTGTTGGCTGTCAAATTGGATACTAATATATCTTAGCATAGTCAATTCACTGAAATAGCAGGGATAGCTATTTGAGAAAGAAAAAAATCCGGGTGGTGGAAAGACTGACCACTGACATTGTTTTTAGATTTTCAGGGAGTAGGTTGAATGCTTTGATTTTTCGAATTGTTTAGTGCAGTGATGGGGAATTGTGATTATTTGGGATAGTACCAGAGAGTTGCATAAAAGAGTTTTGAGTGACCTACTCATAATATGTCTATGACCATATAAAATTTTAAGTTTTGCGTAAGATTTCTGAAGTATAAAAGATAGGTACATGATCGGAGAATTTTAACTTACTAACGATAAATAACCCAAGGTTTTTAGACTTATCTTTCACAGTTAGTTGATTACTTTCTAATTGAATGTTTATATCAGGTAGATTAATAGGTCCAAATAATATTACAGATGATTTCGATGGGTTTATAATCAAGTCATGTTTCTTAGAAGTATCTACAATTTGAAGCAGGTCTTCATTGATTTTCTGTTGAGACTCTGCTAATGTGTTTGAATCGAAAAAGTAGTAGATTTGAGTGTCATCTGCCTACATATGGATTCGTATTTTGAAGAATTGGAAAAATAACATGTGTAGATAGTAAAGATCAGAGGACCGAGAATCGAACCTTGTGCTATTCCACGTGAATACTCTCTGAGATCTCTGAGGGAGTGATCAGAATCGTAGTTATCTGTTTATCTGAGACTTCGAGATATTTTCTTGATTTTGTTCTCTTCAATCGTGATATGTTCTCTTATTCAAGGGGTATTAACATAAATTTCCATTATTGAATGTATTTTCGATGTATCACTTCAAATAAGTTTTCAATGAAAATTTCACAGAGGAAAGATTTGTTTTTCTTTGTGACGGATAAACTCAGAAACCAACTACTTTCACCTATATAGAAAGCTTCATTATCAACCAGTACCATGTACTTTATTCAAGAAATATATTTCTACGAAAATTGCAAAACTTCATGTAACCACCAAATGTCACAAAAATTTACCTTGAAGGTCTTTCATTTGGAGTGTGCGCCATTATTATTGCTACTTTCAAATATTTTTAGGAGAATCATGGCCCCATCTATCGAAAAATTTAATCAGAAAATCTACAATTGGTACCAGAAGGTGAAAAAAGAATGTCAAAATACTGAATCGTAATAGAAAACAAATCGTTTTGTCTTCCTACTTTTTCATCTTTATACAGAAAATATGGGAAATGAATCCTTTATAAAGATGCTCAGATCACATCTTTTTCAACAGTTTATTTGAAACTCAATTGCTTTCTTTTTTTTTTGGAGTTTCTCACAATTTTTGTATGAATATGAAAAAGTAGAAATAGGATGAGCCTGATAAACTGTAGTTTACCACTCGTTTCACCAACTTGTTTTCGTGGGCTCCAATTTCTAAAATTCTCCTTTTGTTCCAGATTGTGATAGAATGTTGTGGCATCCATCGCCACATCTCCAACCCCTTTAATGACCACCATACACTCGATCACCAGCCACCTAGGCAGCATGGACATCAAACACGAGATGATTTATCGAGACGATGACGTGTTGCTCGTAAAATCCGAGCCCCAGCTGTTCACCTCCAATAACGGCTCCATCACCGTGAGTAACCTACTCTCTACCTCCAACTTCACCACCAACACCAACAACATTCTGGTGGCCACCACGTCGAACATATCTTCCTCCAACGGACTTTTACTAGCGAACAACGGACTCGGGAATGCGGGACCATTCAGCGGGTTCAATAACAGTGTCGTGAGTGTCTCTCAGGCTACTAAGAGACAAATGACTGAGGATTTTATGAGTTCTCCAAGTCCGGGAGCCATTAGTGTAAGTGCGCCACCGTTAACGCCATCTCCCGGACCACCTTCGCAACCTTATACCGTTATAAGTAACGGATATTCTTCGCCTATGTCGTCCGGCAGCTACGATCCTTATAGTCCGAATGGAAAATTAGGTGAGTTTTTTTACAATTTTTTAAATTATTTTTGGTTGAAATTAATGTTGTTGAGTAGTTCTTTAGTAAGTAGCATATATAAATAATATATCTTAAAACCTCAAAACTGTTCAAGATTTAAAAAAAAATAACTAGTGAAAAAATAAAATAAATACAAAATAGAATGAAATGAAATAAAATTGAACACACACAGAGGCTAAAAAAAATTACATCAGAAAAACAAAGAAAGGAATGAGAAGATGACATGTCAATTTTGTAAATATTCCTTCAAAGAATAGAAACACTTCGTCTTTCAGTTTGTTTTGGACGTTTGTGATTTCTGAATTGTGTAGGAGTTTAATTTGGATTGTAGTGTTCGACAGTAATTATTCCATGTGAACACTCATCCACTTCGAAGCCTAAAAACCTGACTTTTTGAACAATTTCTGCATCAACGTAACTTTCTGTTGATATTCTCACATCGAAACAGCTTATCTGACGGTTATGGAATCTAATGGATTTCGTTATTCGTTTTTTCCATGTTCAAGTGAAGGAGGTTTGCACTGAACCAATCCTTTACATACGAGAAAGTCTCGTTGCATTTATCTGACAGAAGCTTGTCACATTTATCTAAAATGATCGGTGACGTATCATCCGCGTACATAGTGAAAGAAGACTGAACTGGTAGGTCATCCAAATCATTCAGGTGTAATATAAAAAAATAGGTCCTGAAACCGAGCCTTGAGGGACACCAACTGTGACTGCTCGTTTTGTAGACACAACATTGTCGATAGAAACGTACTGGCTTCTTGAATCGAGGAAGCTGTGCAACCAATGCCTCTTATTCCATATCTCTGAAGTTTATCTAGTAAAATACTATTATCAACACAGTCAAATGCCCTGCTGAGATCACCAAAGATTCCAACAGGGCAGTCACCCGTATCTATTAAGTTCACCAGTTTGTCATAATACGAGTCAACTGCTGTTATCGTTTATTCAGGAATCCATGCTGATTATTGGAGAAAAGTTTCAACCTATTGCAGTGTGCTAATAATCTGTTGAGGAAGGCATACTCAAATATTTTTGGAAAATTGGAGGGGGTTGTGATTGGTCGATAGTTTTTCACAAGCTGCGGATCGCCATTTTTATGAATTAACACCACTTTTACAGTTTTAAGAAGATCTGGAAATATTCCGGTTGAGAGAGATAAATTGACAATGTGTGTGAGAGGAGAGATAAGAGATGGCAGAGATTTTTTTCAAAACAAACATAGGGACCTCGTCATAACCGCACGAAGACTTATAATTAAGTTTTAGCTGTAATATGTTTAGTAATTCTAATTCAGAATACGGATCGAGAAAAAACGAGATCATTATTGTTTTAGAAAAATGTAGGTATTCACTGAAGTCCAAGTTGTTAATTGGTATTTTACGAATAGTGCCATGAGGTATAGATTGAAAATATGTAAAATATGTATGAAAATATGTATTTAACGTGTTGATTCAAACTTTAGAGACAATAGATTCCAATCTGTAAGGTGTCCCAATATTCGAGCCAACCTGAGTTTTTATGATGCATTTTTCCTCGCACTTTTCTTAACCTTTCCACATTATCGAATGCTTTGGAGATATAGAATATACATCATACAACTGATTGATTTGTTTCTTTCCTCTTGTTCAAAAACCACTCGGTTTTCATTTTTTAAGTTTCGTAAAGAACAATAAATTCTCTCGTTGTTGACCGCTGTGGTACCTGCCAGAGGTAAGAAATGAATCATATCAATCAACGACTGGTGTCCTGGTATTCCCCCTTGAAAATATCACATTGAGTACGGTAGTGCTAATGAAATAAAACGTACTTATATATGGGAGAGGTCGTACCAAGCATTCAAGCAAATAAATACCATTCGTTTCAGCAATGATTTACTGCCTTTTGTTGACTGTCGAGTATGAGTATCGTACCCACTTGAATAACACAAACTGAATGTTATCATTGTGCAGACATTTTATGAATTGCTGGCTATTGAACGATGATGACTTGCTTAGGAGAACAATGACCAACTGAATAAGAGTGGGCTGCATTCCAAATTTACGATTGTGATAATTACTGCAGCTCTGGTATCAAGAATGCATTTTTTATCGTCAACAGTTTGGTCACATAAAGAATGACCACAACCTCATACAAGGTACATTTGCCATCTTCAATTCATTCTGGAACTCACCCGTTCCACGGAACTGTCTGTCGAAAAGATCAACAACTCAATATGGTTGATAATTGAGGATATAATATTTTTCGGACCCTTTTGCTACCCTGACCGCATACACCCCCTCCTGAATGGGGTATATGATGAAAAACTTCTCTACAAAAATCACTGTTGTCGCGACATCACTTCGCTGAGAAGAAAGGCATTTGGGATCGTGAGTGGTCATCTATAGTGTACACGGAGTTTCTTCGGAATCTTACTAATTTCTCGCTTGAAGGGGCTGCTTTATGGAAGGACAGCTTCAAATCTTTACGGATGTCAATATTACATGCGAACCAAGAAGCATTCACCAATATCCTTAGATTCCTTGGAATGAAAAGACTTGCAGGGACTTTAGAAAATAAATATTTCGAAATTGAATTCGAAATATTCACCTCTTCCATCTTTCCTGCGTAATAAAATGTGGTAAAAGCCTATACCGAAAACAATTACTTTCCCGGCTAACCACGATAGATATTTGACAGACATATCTTGACAGAAGGATTTCTTACAGATGCGTCTTGTTCATCCAGCAGCTGAAATGAATTACCTCCAGATTGATTTCGGAATATTACTTTTCGTCTCTGTAGGACAGACCAAAACAAGACAGCAACATAGGACTTGACTGACTTTGTCTTCAGGGTTGCCAACCCGAATTTTGGAGATACAGTAGACCATAGTAGAAAATTTCATCGAATTGGTGAAAATAAAGGGTTTCTAGATTTGCGTGCTTATTATGCGAGATGAAAAGGATAAAATCATAGAATAACGAATTATATTGACTCTAAAACCAAACCATTTTCGCCCTTTGATACTGGTTCACAACATCCTTCATAATTAGTACAAAAAAGAGCTGATATATTCATGTCCCAAATATTCTATAACTTTTACTTTTTGTAACTCTCACTTCATGGGGATGAGTTGAACCCAAAACCCAAAACCAAAGCAATTGTGATCCAACATCAAGCAGCTATGTTACGCTGAATCACGAATATATTATGGACTCATGTGTCATATGACAAGATGAAGTAATTTTATAACCATTATTTTCAGTTACTCCTTCACTTCTACCAATATTTCACTAGAATTGATCAAAAAAAATTCCAGACTGTGTTCTCACAGAATTCCTCTGAATACAAGGCTACAGCTCTATGATTTATCAAAACTACCATAGACTGAAATGGAACGTGGCAAGCCACAGAACACTAGTTGAGCCATTGATTACGTAGTACTCGTATGTGTCACTTTGTTTTCAGATGAATGACTTGTTAGCGAAAGTGAAATGAAAAGAACTGTCACTCACTCACTCACTTTGCTCTTAACCTAACCTAAATCCAGGTCAGTCTCCGATCTCGTAGAAAGGTTCAATTCCATCGAATTAGGCCATAAAAGAAAATGGAAATCCACTTTCGTGCAGAAGATTTCTATGCTACACTCGATCTTCGCAAAGTACGCATTGTTATTAAGCTGGTGCATGTTATTGTTGACCAACCTCAGAACCTTTAGCATGGTGGGGTTCATTATGAAACCCAATTGCTAGTCAGGATGAACTTTTCGATTTCTAAGGTCATTATTCAGTCTTGCAGGACGACTTTTTCACTCAACTCAACAGCAAACCAAAACGGCGAATCTATCATTAGTTCCAGAGGAACTTCAGCTCCTACCCTTGTTGAGGAATCAGGATCTCCACAACATTCTGCTTCCAATTTCATGTTTCCTTTTTCTTCTTGAACCACCAAAGCTGATTATCTCCATAATGAAGAGATTCTCACTTCTCTTATTCTCATTTTCATAGTAACAGACTAAATTGGAGCGATATTTTAAGGGGAAAGAAGAATAATTTTCTGTAGTACTACTTGAAGACCCTACAAAATATCATTTATTGAAAAGTTTGCTCATATTTATCTCTTTTGGTATTTGTTTTCTTAGATGCTTTAGAAATCACCTGCGTTTTATCCTGTTTTTGTTGCATTGTATTGTTTTAATATGTAGCTAAAAAGTATAAACTTATCCTGTGACAACAAAACTGCTGTAAATGTGTTCCCAAAACTTTAAAGAAAATATTTTCTGTCTCATATTTTCTTTCTACTTCATTCTCTCACTTTTATTGATTTTCAAAAATAATTTTTTGTAAGACCCACTCTGACCTCTTTGGATATAGGCAACCTAATTGTGTCACTGCTTTGTTGTAGAATAAGCTTGTCCAATTCACCAAGCCCTTCTAAGCATTAAAATTCCAGACCAATCACCTAAAAGGCTACTTAATTTCAATACCAACTTCCTAAAGACACCATTAATCTTAATTTCCTAAGTAGTCCATTTCTCCTACTTGAATAACGCGAAAGACCTTAACGCAAACTTTCTCATGGCGTACGGCCAACTGAATATCTCAAGACGGGATGTCACATTACGTGAACGACGTGATTCAGTTTGGAGAAAATTTGGGCAACTACAGTTGGAGCTACGAAAGAATACACATGCGGCATTAATAAAATAAAATTCGGAAACGAAATCGAAACAGCTCGGATATTTTCGTTGGTGGATAAAAAATGCTTAATCCAAAGAAATAATAAAAATTGCACAAAAGTCAGTGGCGTGAATTTTTAAGCCAAAAATATTAATTCAAATCCCACTCGAGACGCCACTGGACTTGATAAATCGAATCACGTTCTGGCTGAATTAGCTCCTTAATGTTATAAATACCATTGCCAAATCACAACAAAATCAGATGAAGGATATTTAAGAATAACTTTTTTTTTTTATTTCAACACCCTGTATC